CCATTTGTGAAATTAACCCTATATCAATTAGAACATACAAGTAGATTAATTGTTCTTAAAAGTGGCTTATATGTTCATTTAGCCACTGTCAAATATTAATTTCATTTTTTCACAATTAATTGAAGCCATAGGGCCCTATTCATTCATTCATTCGATCGATTTTATTTTATTTTTTTTCGTCTAAGAATTCAAATTGGATTTCATACTGATTCGATAAAAATGAGATAGACTCAAATTCATTCCTGCTATCCATTCACTATCTACATACTTTGTGAAGTTACTAATAATTTTCCAAAATAGAAGCTAATCCCTTTGTTTGGTATTCGTTTTTTTCAAAATATATGTTTTTCTCTTTTATTTTCAATTACACATTATTCAATAAAATAATATTAGTCATGCTATGTGTACATAGGGGTTGACATAATGTGAGTGAGGTGCGATCCACGATACTGTAACATAGGCCCCACCCCATTCACATTATGTCAAGGGAAGAGTTCAAAAGTCGGAGATTAACTATACACAGTTCAAAAATCAAGTTTTAAGTTTGATTAATACAAAAATCAGGTTTTAGTTAATTAATTAAAAATATTTATTAATTATGTCACAATTATATATTTAATGGTCACATATACATAATTATGGGTCACAGTTTATTTATTGATCACATATTATCAAATTAATTAGTCACAGATGATTTCGAGGTCACAAATTCAAAAATTTATAGGTCACATATTATTTTTCAATTATATATTGTCAAATTTTTAGATTACAGTTAAATACTTGGTCACAAACCACTGACACTATCACTTCTACCACTAACCACCACCACCATCACTAACCACCACCAACAATAACTTTTGTGCTCTGATCGAGATTTTGAAGAGTTTTCGACTGATAAAATTGAAAAGAAGCTGTGTTTGTAATTTCCTCGAGGGAGTTACTGATGGGAGAGCTCGACAGATAAACTGAAGAGTCGAATTGAAACGAAGAAAAGGCAGCCATTTTTTCGGGGGTTTGAATGTGAAAATTTAAGGGTTAAAGAGAGTAATGGAAGAGAGATTGAATTTGTGGGTTTGAGTATAAGAAATTCTGAAGAGGTCTGGTTTATATAAAAATGAGGATCTGTCATGTTGCTCTATATGTTTGACTGGTCTCTCACACACACAAAAGGGATTCTCAAATTAGTGGCCGAGCTAGAATTTTCCTAATGAAAAACCAAAAAATTGTTAAATTGGCAAGATATACTCGATCATAGATGCGGTGGATTTGCTTCGCGGTGGGGCGGTGGATTTGCTTCTGTGTCATCTTTTCTTCATTGCAGCAGCATCGAGGCGCTACGTCGTCGGACCAACGACGAAGAGAGAGGATGGGAGATTTACAGAGAGAGGGAAGGGGAGGGAAGAGGAGGGGAGATGAGGCGCGAGAGAGAGAGAGAGGTGAGGGAGTTGAGAGTGATAAATTAAGGTTAAAATATTAATATATTACCTGATTTTTTAATAAATAAATTTTGGATTTGATTTTTAAAAAACTATTTTTAAACCCCTGATTTTTTATAATTTCCCTTATGTCAACCCCTATGTACACAACGCACATAGATTAATCGAAATAATATTATACACAAATTCAAAAGTTTTCTTTGTTTTTTAATTACACATTCTCAAGAAAAAAAATACCATTTCAAATGCATTTTTGTAAATAAAAAAGGGGGTGGGGGCTCAAACAGGCACTAAGTTTAAAACGTGTTTATAAACGGATAAAAATAAATTGTGAAAAAAATAAATAGTGGCAGTAGATAGCGGTGGCAAAAAAGCTCGGAGGCTTGGGGCTCGGCTTTGAAAAAGCCCGAGCCGAGCCCGGATCGATGGAACCGAGCCCCACTTTGGGGAGTCGGCCCGAGCCCGGGCAAGCGTACTATTTTAAAAAAAAAAAATTGAAGGCAGGCAGCAAGCCTGGGCAAACTGCAGGCAGCTTGCACATCTGCAAGCTGCAGCAATGCTGCTGTGCAGGGAGCAGCAGCAGCCTGCTGCCTGGCTGTGCAGGCTGCCTGCAGCAGCTTGCTGCTTGCTGCCTGCACAGGCAGGCAACAAGTCGTTGCTGCCTACAGCAGGTTGCTTGCAAGCTGCCTATTGCAGGCAGGTTGCAAGCTGCCTGCCTGTAGTTCAGAAAAAAAAAACCAAAAAATTCGAGTCGACTCGTCCTGGGCTCGGCTCGGGCCGAGCCTCATTTCGGAGGCTCGACTCGGTCCAAAAAAAGCTCGGGCTAGTAATTGATCGAAAACAATTTTTTTTTCAGCTATTGATCTTTTTTCAGATTTTCAGAGTGAAGAAGATGAGAGAGTTTTTATCTGTGTTTGCACAGATTTTGTAATTTTAAGTCGGGACCGTTTGATTTTTATTTGTTAACTAAAACGGTAGTATTGTCTTTTTAACACAAATATATTTTGTAATTGTTTTAGTAATTTAAGGGCGTTTTTATCTTTTTAAAGCAAATGGATCATTTTGAAAATATTAGGCTCGACTAAGTCATTGAACCCCTGTCTCGTCCTCACTCGCAAAACCTTTGCTGCTGACCAAAATAGAAGTATTCGAGAAATGGACCATACTCAACCCACCACCGACGATGGCGCCCCCAATTGCAGTAATACCGAGCAACCACAAATAGCGGATGCGGAAAGCCCTTCGGCGGAAGATGTCTCTCCCGAGATTGCAGATGTGGCAGACACTACATCAGCTGATGAAAAGGAGAATGAATTGAAGGAAATGCAGGCCAAGTGGCCCGGGTGGCCCGGGTACACGGTTTACCGGATAGTGGTGCCGGCGCTGAAAGTCGGCAGCATTATTGGGCGCAAAGGAGATCTCATCAAGAAGCTGGTTGAGGAGACTCGTGCTAGGGTTCGCATCCTCGAGGGTCCTTTCACCTGCCCCGATCGCATTGTAATTTCTCTGTCCCTTTCTTTCTCTGCATGTTCATGTCTATGTATGTTTACCTGTATAGTTCTATTGCGAGTATTTTTTTACTTTTCTTGAGAAATATGTATTTATAGAATTTTATTCTTATTCCTAGGGTTTCAAAGTTTCTTTTTTTTTGTACATTGATTGTTAACTTTCAATGGGTTTGACGTTTTTGGAAGATAAAACTAAAGATATGCTGTTTTTCTTTTATTTTCATTTTTAATGTTCAGGATTATGGTTGATTATAGGATTTCAAGTTTTAAATCTCTTAAAAAATTTAATCTTGGGTTCAAGTTTTTGTTTTTATTTCCATTTTTCTTTTCACCCGGTAGTTCAGAGTTATGGTTTTGTTTTAGAGATTATTGAATAATTATTGATGTTGTTTGAGCCTAAATTATTTTTTTGAAGATAATGTGTGCTGAAAGACAACCTAGTTATGCAGTCAGACGTGTTCATTTTGTTATGAGCTCCTTTATTATAGCATCATCTTGGAAAGAAAGTTCTGCCACTGAACTCCTACAGTTCAGCTTCTTATTCGACATGTGTTTTTGGTTAAGTGTTTTTTTTTTCAAAGAATGAATTTCATCCAGTAAACACGCATTTTAATGGGATGTGTGACAGTCATAAATGTTTTTCAAGAAATGGTTATAGCTCTGTTGTCTGCTATAGGAGGACGACAAATTTTGTTGATATAACTAGTTGTGTTGACTTACCGTAAGAAATCTGAATCCTTAAAATCAGTTTCTTGATTCCTCAAACAATCAGAATTCTGTTGCAAGTTGGAGCCCCTTTTTTGCTGGTTTGATCAACTACTTTATGGTAGAATCTTCAACCAAAAGGAGCCTTAGTTAGTTAGGTAGTTAATAACTGACTTTGATACTCCTTTGTGTCTATAAATACCTGTTTTAGGACTGAAGTAAGAGTGTAACTCGAGAATGAGAAAGTGAGATGAGATAAGAGTGGTAAAACTCTTGTAAGTCTGAAGAATTTTCTGATGATTTCTGATAGGAAAATCATGTAAAGTCTTGAATGAATAAAGACCGAGGAAGATCATTCTTCCCGTTCTAAATCTGCTGGTTTTCCTTCTGCTGGTCTTTCTTTCCTGCTGGTTTTATTTCTTGCTGTTCTTTAATCTGTTCTGCTGGTTCGTGTTTCCTACTGGTGTACATCTATTAAGTTCAGACTTAAGGAAGTCTTTCAGCCCCAACACTTACATATGGTACTAAAACTGCTATCATATTAGTTTGACCGCTCAATGTGCCGTCCAAAATATTCGGGATGCATTATAAAATGAAAGAAAAATTGGATTGATGATGATAGAAGAAATCTGGTTGGTAATTAAGAACTTACGATGTGACACGTGTTAAGATGACTCCTAAAGAAGCAAAGGGAAAAGGGAGGCTAGTATAATTTATTATACTTCTTTTCGGCCTGGTATAGAGTAGTTTAAAAAGAAACATGTAGCATATGTGGCACAATTTTGACATTAAATAGTGGATTTTGAACAGCATCAACAGCAGGATGCTAACTGTTAAGTTATAACTGTTACATTGAGCTTTGTGTATAACTTTGATGCTTTAGAACCATTACCATCTGCTTGTAACCTTGATGCTTTTGTTCACTGCACTGGGTTAATATCCTTCAGAAAGTATTCTTACATTATTCATGATATTGATCACTGGCGGTCTATAGCTAATATTTTGCCTGGGAACCTTTTATTTATTTATTTATTATTACTACTAATGACCATTTGCAGCATAATTAAATTTCTATAATACATCTCAAAAGAAGTTTCCCTTCTTGTAAGGGAATCAACTTGCTACGTCAGGTTCAAAGATGATTGTTTCTTACCACTTATTCTTATTCTGGATGTTTGTCGGTACTGTTATATAGCCTGAAATGAATAGTTGTTCCCTAAAGACAAGGGGAACATTTTATAAGATGATTATTCATTGGCAGATTCTGCTGACCTACTTGGAGTGGGACTCTGATGTTGTCTGTGTGGCTTCTGCCCTATGTGTATGAGTCCTTGATTTAATGATTAGGACGCTAGATCAATTGATAAACCCATGGAGAAAACATTTTTTTCCTGGGTTTGTGTACGCAAGTTTAATCCATTACTGTGAGTGCTTTGAATTAGGAAAAACTTTCTTTCTATTTCAGGTTTTTCATTTCATTTTTAACACTGCTGACATTATTTTCATGTTAAAAAACTTCAGGTTCNTTGATATACTTCTGGTTCTGATTTCTGGGAATGAAGAACCAGAAGCACCATTGTCTCCTGCAATAGATGCTATATTATGTGTATTCAAACGCATCAATGGACTACCTGAGAATGATGGTGATGGCGAGGCCCTTGGTGCTGCTGGAATTGCATTTTGTTCAATTCGGTTATTAGTGGCATCCTCCCAAGGCATCAGTTTAATAGGAAAACAAGGCTCTTTGATTAAGTCAATTCAGGAGAGCACCGGTGCTTCTATCCGCATCCTCTCCAATGGTATTTTAACATCTTCCGACTGACCAAGTGTCGTTGGTTGTATCATATGTGATGTTACCTTCTTATCCCCTGGAGTGTGTTTACACTTTAAATTGTTTTGCCTGTTTTGTTAAAAAAATTCATATTGTTTCATTAATTTTAACAGAAGAACCATGAGAACATCGTGTGCGTGCATGTGCTCATGATTTTTTTTTTTTTGACAAAAAAATTCGTTTTGTTTCCTTAAAAAAGGGAGTTACTTCAATTCAACCCTCATGTTGTGAAACATAAACATAAACTAGGAAGACAATTCAACACGCACATATTGATCTCTCAGGAATTCTGCTAATAAATTACCTGTCTAAATTGAACTTTAGAGCGAGCTATATTTGAACAATCTTCTTTTTAAAAATACTTCTCTTTTAAGTAATTTGATCCGACCGGATTTGGTGCACACAAGAATTATACGAAAATAATACAAAACAGGGGACATTAATGTGTCCGTGGCTGTTTTGCTCGAGATGGTGTTCACTATGAAGATATATTACATACTCCGTAATTGTTGCTGCAGATGAAATGCCAGTTTATGCCAGTTCTGAGGAAAGGATTGTCGAATTACAAGGGGAAGCTCTCAAGGTTCTCAAAGCTCTGGAAGCTGTGGTGGGGCACCTGAGAAAATTTTTGGTGGATCAGAGTGTTCTTCCCCTATTTGAGAAGAGTGTAAGTTGATTCCTGCTTAGTTTAACGATCCATGATTACAGGACTCTAATCAAGATGGTTATCCTGTTCTACAGTATAATGCACCACCAGTCACTCAGGAACGTCAAGTGGACACATGGTCTGACAAGACATTGCGGCACACTACTCCGAGGACTTCATATGGGAATGATTATCCTCTTCAAATGAAGAGGGATTCTTTATTTCTTGATCATGAAAGCCAGATGGAAGCACATATTCCTTCTTCTAGATTCTCATTGTATAGATCAGATCATGGACTTGAAAATCGTTCTTTGGCAGGAATTGGGCGTTCTGGTGGACCAATTATAACTCAGGTTTGTTGTTTTAACAATTCTCGTATTTATACTAAAGCTCTCTTAGTATCACCTGTGTCATCATTTCTCTTCATTTAGTGCCTTTCGTTTCTGTATGGAGGTTAGCAGTGTCGAAAAGGGAAAACATTATATAAAAATGTAGGGCAAGAGGTTGATTGTGTGCTGCATGTCCTTATTCTTTTTATCACTATCAGTATTTCTTTAGTAAAATCTCCTCAATCAATAAGGTTCCAGCTAATGGCCAGACTTAGTTTGAAGTTTTAAAGTTCTACTGTAATTTACATGTTTATAGATAAGACTCTTTTGTGCTCAATTTTACATGGCCTATCTAGATTATTAGGTTATTCGATTTGCAGCTATCCCTTTTTTTTTTTCCAGATTTACTATATTGTGCATCAGAAGCATTGCGAATAGCTAACTATTCCTTGTCTTTCATTTTCTTTGCTCTTATGGTGGATTGACATTTATAATTTATTTCACTGTAGTTTTTTAGTAAATAGAAAAGGCTATAAAAGTGTAGGCAAGAGAGAGTCAGTTGGATAATTTATTTTAGACAGTACACAAGAAGCCACTAATTGTTGGAATCCTCCAAAGATTTGTTAAATAGGACTTCTGCAACCCACTTTCGTAGGTCTGGTGTAATACTAGTACTAACAATCATAATGTCGTGGGGTTGAATATGAGGCTTCACATCTCTGATGTTCGGGCTTGGCATTTTAGCCGACATATCCGTGTCGACACGACACGGGTATGGGTATGAAATATGGGGTGGGCACTTCAATTTTCAAGCAGGAATGTCAATTGTAATTATGTCATTTCTAACTTTTATTTTAGTTTTGTGCTTTTGTCATGTAAATTTACGTTGTTATTAGTGTTTTAGATGTTTAATATAAATTTCTATTTGGTTTTAAGTGACATGCTATATCTTTTAAAAATTTGCAAAAAAGTTGAATTGTGAAAGAAGCACCTAGGTACTTGTGTTCAAAAGTTGAACTAAAAATTGAATTGTGAAAGATGCACCCACGTACTTGTGTTCGAAAGTTGAACTATTTTTAACCATGTTCGCGTGTCCTATATTTTAGAAAATAAAAGTTCCAACACTTAGATACGTACTCATACCCGATATCCATACCTATATTCGAGTCCGAACATCATAGCTTCAAATTATGAAATGGTCATACATATTGTTCGCTTTGGGAGAGCTTATATCTATCTGACTCACCACTGCTCTTTATCGCGTCCCTCAGGATTCGATTTTAAGACTTCTGCCTTATGAGAGACTTGATGTATACTGGGTTTGTGGAGTTAACATATGATATTGGATTCTTGTGTGTAGATTGCTCAGACGATGCAAGTACCACTTGCTTATGCAGAGGATATTATTGGAGTTCAAGGAGCAAATATTGATTACATTCGACGAACTAGTGGTGCCATCCTCACTGTGCAAGAGAGCAGAGGACTACATGATGAAATCACTGTGGAGATAAAAGGTACCTCTTCACAAGTTCAAACAGCGCAGCAGCTAATTCAGGTACGTACTTCTTTTCATCCTTATTTTCTGCTCTTTTTTTTGTACTTCTAATACCAAGATTAGGTCATTGCTTTAATCTATAGGACACCTATCATATTCTTGCAGTAGCTCACAGAGCAACTTAATGTTTTAACAAAGAATATAGCAATTCAACGGTTCCATTTTTTACTGCTGATTTTTATCTTAGAAAATACTGTGGTTGCAACAATATACACTGCATGCATCCGATTTTCATTTTTACTTGTGTTTGTAATATTTGGACATGGCGCGGTTAAAAAATTGCATTAAAGTCAAATGTATTTGCACAATGTAGCACTAAATGAATTACAAAACATTTTAGTCCTTGTTTGGCCCTTATTTTTTAAAATCATTTTCGCACAAACTCATTTTCAATCACACATTTCATGGGACCCATAACTTTTATCAACTTTTTAACAACACATTTCATCAATTTTTATCATTATCTACCCCGAATCTGATTTTTAGTAAAACTAGATAGGCTCAAAACCTGATTGTTACTTTCAAGAATGAATGTGAATTTCGATGAGAGCTAAAGATAACACCTTTTTCTGTTAAGCAGGAATTCACCGGTGGTCATAGAGAAACAATTCCTGACACTTATAGCAACCTGGACTCAAGTTTGAGGCCTTCTTACTCTCAGCTTGGCATGGACTCAAGTTCGAGGCCTTCCTACTCTCAGCTTGGCAGTGGTTCCTACTCGTCCTCATCGAACAGAGAACAACATTATGATGGCTATGGATCATCTGGCCTCGGAGGATATCGTAGTTTTAGGCTATGAATTGGTTTTTGTTGTTCAGAATTTTCCTTACAACTCTTATTATCATCTATGCCAGATCCTGATCTGTAAAGCATCTTCCCATGGGTCATGGAAAGAAACACTGTTTTTTGTAATTCTGTTTACTTGTATCAATGTGGTTAGGTCTTTTGATATTTGTGCTCAAAATTTTATTGTTTTTGAGCTCTTACTAAAATTCATTGTTTTACATTGTTGTGCGATGTTTTTTTTGGTTAATATGAAGCTCGACCCTCTTCAAATTCCCCACACAAGGATATGGTTTGAGCAACACAAATTAGATTCTTACGTACTTAACAATTTCGTCAAGTTTATCTCCTTATCCTTGTACCGGTTCACTAAGCATGTGGATATTTAGTCTGATCGTTACTCTATTTGTTGTGACACTACAAGGTGGACGGACCAGAAGTATGTTGCACTTTCACTAGAGTTCCGATACAAATAGCAACGAAATGTTGAATAAAAAATGAATGTGAATTTGATAAAAAGTTTTAAGTTGATCATTGGTATGATGGTATCTACATGCTGCCTATAAAAAATGTGATTGGTCTGTGACAGTACCTGAGTTGTAAGGATGGTTACTAAATCAACCACAGTTTGGCATTACCAGATAGATTTTCTACCTTTCTTTATAGAGTGCCATGGCCAGTTAAGGAAAAAAGGAAAGTTTTCGCACCAATCACTTGTTGCCACACCTTCATCCGTCATCCAGAATGTCAAATTCATCTGACAAAGTGGCATTATTCTATATGAAATGGCCTCTGTACAATTGCTGGGGAAACTTTATTTTAATCATAATTTATTGAAAAATACTGCCATCAACTGTACTAATCCAAGAAATACGCTGACTCAGCGTTGTCTGTAGAAGTATAGCGTATCTTAACAACCTTATTAATAATATTATGTTTATTATCTTTAACAATTTGAGCTAAAACAAGATATACTAATTTAAAATAGAAAATTTCATTGCCAGAAGCAAAACTACATTATACAGGAAAAGACAATGCCCCGAAACACGAAAAGTCATCTACTAGGCTCCCGATTGATTTCACCATAGAGGAAAAATAGAAAATACGAACCCGAGCAACATGAGGGCTTATTTTTTTGTGGGCTCTCGACTGATTCTACCACAGTGCCATGAAGTCTAATCTTAGTCCTAAGACACCAAGGAAAATCAGTCGAACCAACTCGATTCGCTCGGAAACTTAAACCATGAAAAAAGGAGAAGAAGATGAAATCTCATTGCTGACAAATTCATTGATAAGACTGTTTTAGATGCTCATAGGACTGTCTGGATCATTTAGAGATGCTATGGCTGCCTCTATCTTTCCTCTTAAAAGGTCTTTTTCCTCTTCATTGGCCTGGCAAAAAAACATGTTAATCCACACAACTTGAAGCCACTACTAAGAAAATTAAAAAGAACAAAAAATTAAAATATTTTTTTCCCCGTATTTTAACGAAGGAAAAATTAGGACTGTGCTCCCCAACTTATCACGTTGTCTTCTAGTTCTGGGTCCACAACCTTCAAAATCGAGATTTTTTAGGTTCCCACATATCGGAAAATGTCGATATAAACGTTAAAATGGAACTTAAATTTAATCTGTTTGATGATTTGACTCTAACTATACATATAATCTATGTGCCAAAGCCCACAAACTTGTAAAAAGTCGTAGGCCACTTACCATTATATTGGGATTTGATCAACAAATTGATAATTGTAAAAAGCCTAGTGGCCATAGAAACCCATACATACATGTGAATAGAGAGAAAAATGTAAAAGCTTTAGGACAAATTAGTGGGTTGAAATATATCTTATTTAATAAACCACGTTTTTTCAATGAACCATGCTTTTTGTTTGTCTACAATTATTCAAAAGGCACGCGGTGCAGTTGTATTAGCCAATTTTCTTTTCTAGGGTCAGAGTTGGGAAGGATTAGACACATTGTGAATGAATTAAATTCAATTTAGATTTATTCTATATTTTCAAAATGAATCGAAAGACGACACGACACGACACGACACGACAAAGATCTTTGAAGTTTTCTGCCAATCTACTATTGGATTCTCGATCAAACTTGGGTCCCAGAATACAACGTTGTTTTCAGCTTTTTCTTACATGAAAAGATACAAGCATCTTTATTTTATATTCTTGAATATTTTTGTAAAATAATCATTTAATTATCAGCACCGTAGGATAAGAATATCTTAATTTATACTAATTATATTATTTATTATTGTTTTAACATTTTTTTACAAGTCAAATTGCATTATTGATATGCTTATGTTATGGTAGACCCCACTGCAACCTATTTTCATGGGAGATCCATTTTGATGATATAATTTGATATCGCAACCCACTTCCACTCCCTCCCACACCCCCTCCTGCCACTACCATATTTTTGGGTCTATCATAGATTAAATAATTTTTAATTAATGGTAAGTTTTGGTCAGAAATTTTGGGTTCGAATAGCCAGGATTTAAAGTGGAGGTTCCTGCACGAATCTCAGCAATCACCCTTCCTTGAAAGACTAAGATATACTCTCGTAAAATAAATTGTCATCAGATTCAACTTCTAGTAAACGTTAGACAGGTCGAATTTAGAACGGACCATGTTGGGACAAAAGGGACGAATTCGGTGGACCATAGTAGAGGACGTATCATTTTGATGCACTACATCGTAGCGGGCAATCTAAGACACGTGTCAAGTTGTGATAAGTGAGTCAGAAATAGAAAAGAGTATAACCTCGACAAACACGGTCTTCAAAACCCATCCAGAATAAGAAGTGATATTGGCAGTAATGATTTTGAGCTTCAAAGATTCAAAGATCTCACAAAGCTTGACCATTGTGTTTGTTCCTTTACAGCATGTGAGGCTAATTACAACTGTCTTTTCCCCCATATTGGTTACCTTCAACTGCAAATCAATAAAATAAGTAATTAACAACTTAAAAATAATCAGTTATAATTGAATTGACCAATCTAATGAGCCCACCTCAAGAACTTCAATAGGGCATGATCTTGATCCTGCAGAATCATAGTATTGATCAATTCTTGATCTCTTTGGTTTTGAACAAAAAGTTGTAGCCTCTTGATCGATGTCAAAAATTGAACCATTCGGCAATCTCCCAGACTCGAGCTTTGATACTTCAGCTCGAATTCTCTTCTCTTCTTCTTGCAATTCTTGGATATATTCGATCGCATCTTTGATTATCGAAGCTTTATCCATCTAAGTTTCAACATAATACATGACTATTCAATCGAGAAATAATTGAGTTGGGGTCAAGAAAAAGTAAAATGGCCTAATGGGGTCACCTTAGTAATGTTAGGGACAACTGCTCTTAGTGCATAGAGTCTTTCATTGAGTTTCTTCCTCCTATTTCTCTCAGACTCGATGTTCTTGGAAGCCATTGATGACAAGGTTCCATCAGGCGAGCTCGAATCATAGTATGCCGATAGTGTTTCGTCGTAATTATAACTGCAAAATTCAGACGAAACCATGGTCGATTCTATGATTATAAGTTCATTTCATATTCGGACGAGACAACAAAAAGATCGAAAAAAACGAAAACTCTTACCTGTTAAATTCTACTGATTGGAAAAACCTAGTGGTTTCCCAGTAATTATTGTACTCATGATCAATATTCTCCATTTTTGAGCGAGTTTGNATCAATATTCTCCCTTTTTGAGCGAGTTTGAGAGAGAGAGAGAGAGAGAGAGAGAGAGAGAGAGAGAGGTTTTTCTTTGGGTGGATTGTGGAATATATTTTAGAATGGGATTTATATAAAGACAACAGAGGGACTGTTTTTTTCAAGCATTTTGTAAAGTTCTTAGAATGATCTTGACCGTCCATTTATGTGTCAAAGTGAACTATCGAAATATCTGTGAATACTGTACAGTTTCAAGTACTAATATACTGATTTTTTCTTGAGGGAATCTGGATCTTTCCATGCAATTAGGGTTCTTATAGCCTCATATTATTTTTTATATTTAAAAACTTCTTTTACGAGGAAATTCGAGGTCAGTTTTGAAAAAGGGTTATATTACACCATACGTTTCATTCATTGTGCTGCTTTTGAATTTTATAGAAAGTCTCCAGTCTTTGTTTATAGTCTCATTTATGTCCTCATCTTTTTTTTTTTTTTTTTTT